TTAAATAGTTAATTTGATATTAATATCGACATATTTTTGTCAAATTTTTATAATATCTTCAAATTTATATTTTATTAAAAATAAAAACATTATCGTTTTTTCAAAATCATATCATAAAATCGACTGAGATAAATAATAAAATAAAATATTAAAATTAAAATGTATCTCGTTGCATTCCACGAATATCGTTCTAGTTTAAAATAGAGAAAAACAAGAGAAAACTTGAAGTTTTGATTTTTTTTTAAATTAATATAAGAAGAGATAAACGATTTTTATATATTTTTTAATTAATAAATCGAGTTATTTATTTATATAAAGTTTATTTAAAAAATATATCAAAATAATAAAATTATAAAATATTTTAATACTAATATAATTAATGTTAGAGATTTTAATTTTTTATTTACGAATTTATTGGAGAAGGTAATATTTAATTACGTGAAAAATACGGTACCAAAAATCAATAAATATCACATAACTCGAAAACCCACCGTTTCTCTAGTAAAAATATATACGAATAATTAAAAGTTTATTATATTAAAAAATTATAAGAAAATAATACCAAATAAAAACATCTACTACTTTTTGTTCTAAAATAACATTACGAAAACGTGTGATATTTGAAAGGGGTTTAAAAAGCCATCAAATGATTGTGGCCTTCTTCATATCACACACAACTTATCTCTCTTCACTCTCACCACCTTGACCTTGACTCCCACTGAACTCATCTCCGGCGGCCGTCTGCCACCACCCAAAATGGGAAGAACACCTTGCTGTTCTAAGGTCGGTTTACACCGAGGTGCATGGTCCTCCGACGAAGATAAACTCTTAACCGACTACATTCAAACTCATGGTGAAGGCCAATGGCGGGCATTACCTTCCAAAGCTGGTACATTTATAACTTATAAAGCAATTACCTTTATATATAATGTCAAGCTCATGGAAAACCGTAGAGAAAATTAAAAATTTGAGCTCATCTAGATGATATACACACATACATACAGCTGATTATATATATATATATATATATATATATATATACACACACACACATACAGCTGATTATACATGTGTGTGTGTGTGATGGATATTGTAGGGTTGCTTAGATGTGGAAAGAGTTGCAGGTTGAGATGGATGAACTATCTCCGGCCAGGTATCAAGAGAGGAAACTTCAGTTCCGACGATAATGATGTCATTATCCGGCTACATTCTCTCCACGGCAACCGTTGGTCGCTCATCGCCACCGAACTTCCGGGTCGGACCGATAATGAGATAAAAAACCACTGGAACGCCCACCTCCGGAAAATGGGTGACGACCACCGCCCAAAAGTCACCAAAAAGAAGACGACGAAGAAGAAGAGAAAGTTGGATGCCGAAACGACGACGTCGTCGGGTACAGAAAAGTCAAAGAAAGTCAAACCATCTGATCATTCAGCTGTTCATTTTTCTTCTTCTTCTTCTTCTTCTTCTTCTTCGTATTCGTCTTCGTCGTCTGAGTCAGTCCGCAAGAACGAGAGTTCTGATAATGGAATGGTGAGTGGTGCGTCATCATCGAGTTGTACCATTGACCTTGGAGAAGCTGACTTTGACTTTTCATGGTCAAACTGGACTCCATTTTTAACGTTGGAAGATGAAAGCAGCATCGACGGTCTTGAAGATCAGAGTTTTTTAATGGACGGTTGTGATTTACTGATAACAAAAGACGATGAATATGAAAGCTTGATGCTGGAGAAGCTGTATCATGAATACCTAAATCTCCTCAATCATGAAGACGCACAAGGAAATAACTAATTATTTCATGTAGTCTTTTATTTAATTCAATTTAGGGACTTGTGATTATTTTAAAATAAAAATAAAAAAAATAAAAACGTGATTTTTAATTTATGAAACTTTATATATATATATATATATATATATATATAGTGTTGGGTTGACGTGATACCAGACTGTTTTTGTGAGACCCGTGAAACCAAATTTTTACACTTGAAACTTCACAGCAAAAACACTGTGAAGGTTTAAAAAAGTCGAACTTTCACAGCAAAAACACTGTGAAGGTTTAAAAAAGTCGAACCTTCACAGCAAAAACACTGTGAAGGTTTAAAAAAGTTGAACCTTTACAGCAAAAACACTGTGAAGGTTACCTTCACAGCATTTTGCTATGAAATTTCAAGTGTAAAAAATTGGTTAAACGGGTCTCACAAAAACAGGCTAGTCTCACATGATCCCAAATATATATATATATATATATATATATATATATATATATATGCCTAATTAAATGAGAACTAATTAGTTTGTGAAAACCGTGAGGTCTAACCTCAATCACAAATCAATAGATAAATTAGGAAGTTTATAATTTTGGTAATTTTGAATTAAAATTTTAATGTAAGGACATTTTAGGTATTTTAAAACTCTTCTCTCCCCGTCCTTCGGCCACCGTCCTCGGGTGATACCATAATGGTATCACAATGCATCATATATATGTTTGGGTATCACACTGAGGTCGTTTATGTGGTCGATCGAAGATGTAATACAGTGGTATCACAACGCATCTTATATATGCTTGGGTATCACACTGTGTCTTTTATTTAACAGAGTCAATATTTTTAGGTATTACAGTGGTATCACCGGAGGACGAGGGACGAAGAGAAGAGAGAGGAGAGAGGAGAGAAATTACCTAAAATGTCCTTGCATTAAAATTTTAATTTAAAATCATCAAAATTATAAATTTTCTAATTTATCTATTGATTTGTGGTTGAGATTGGATCTTACGGTTTCCACAAACTAATTAGTTTTCCCTTGAATGAGCCGTTATATATATATATATATATATATATATATATATATATATATATATA